CATATGTTCTATATTATCTACATATACCCTTTATACAAACATACTCATCAGAATGTCACAAATGTATATCATATATATATATATATATATATATATATATATATATATATATATATATATATATATATATATACACACAACAACACACGTTTAGACGACATCGGGGGTTGCCGTTTGGCTACCTATGATGAAACCGAAATACCCCTCGACGCCATCCACATCTGTCACTCGCCTCAGTATCACGCAACCCCGCTTTCACCCTGTCCTTCTCCACCTGCTCTCTCCATCCCAATCGCGGACGACCCCTTCCTACCACTCCTTCAATCTCGAACTCCAACGCTCGCCTAATCCCGACCCTTTCATCCCTTCTCAACACATGTCCATACCACCGCAGTCTCGATCTCCTTATCAATGTCACAATGTCCTCATTCAGTCCCATCATTGACATCAGCTCTGTACTACTCCTCCTATCCTTCACTTTAACCCCACACATCATCCTCACCATAGCTCTTTCAGCCCTCTGCAGTACACTTTCCTCCTATCTCCTCAACACCCAAGTTTCACCACCATATACCATCGCTGCTCTCACACATGCTTTATATACCCTCCCTTTCATCTTCACTGACCATTTCTTTCCACACAATACCCCACCCAGTTCCCTAAATTTCATCCATCCTACACGAACTCTAGCCGTAACTGCGCTCAAACATCCTCCATCCGCGTTCAGCTTATCCCCTAAGTAAACAAAGCTTTCCACTCTTTCAATACCACCACTCAACCCCGTCCTTGCGTCCGTCCTATTAATCACACCATGAACACATTTCTTACATTTGAACGTGCCTTCCACCTTTTTCAGTGCCCCCCTCACACCACTACATCTCTTATGCACCCATTTCTGATATCCTATACACAATACCGAGTTAGCCTTCACTCTCCTATCACATACCCCACAGGGGTCTATTTTACTTATCACTCGCTCCCCACCTTCCCCACTCACCATTACCTTCGTCTTACCAATATTAACTTTCAACCCTTTCTTTTCAATAACACTTTTCCATCTGTCAAATTTTAACTGCAATTCTTCCATGCTATCAGCCATCAAGACTAAACCATCTGCATACAAAATCTCAAATAACAACCCCTCCATTATGTTTCCACAGACAACATCCATCACAATTGCAAACAGAAACGGTGATAACACTGATCCTTGATGCACTCCTACCTTAACACTAAAAGCGTCCGACATCCCCCTTCCAACCCTCACCTTTGTCTTTGCCCCTTCATACAGCTGCATCACAGCTTTAACAAGTCTCTCATTCACTCCTTTCTTCCTCAACGCCCATTCAATGACCTTCTTCGGTACTCGATCAAAAGCCTTTTCTAGATCCACAAAACACATGTACAATCTTCGTTTCTTCTTTCTATAATTCTCCTGCAACATTCTCACCATGAACAACGCATCCACCGTTCCCCTACCAGGCATAAACCCACACTGCATTTCATTAACTGTCACCATATTTCTCAACCTCCTCTCAAGCACCCTCTCCACTACCTTCATTCCGTGCTCTAGCAATTTCACACCCCTATATGACCCACAATCTCTCACATCGCCTTTGCCCTTATACAACGGCACCAACACATTGTGTCGCCAATCCTCAGGTATACCTTCATCATCAAACATACTGTTAGCAATTCTCATCATAACTTCAATTTCTATCACCCCACTCGCTTTAATATGTTCTGCCGCCACTTCCGAAACCCCTGCCGCCTTACCTAGTTTCATTTCTCTAACTGCTTTCTCTACTTTCTCCATCGTCACCTTCTCTATAGGTCCGTGTGTGACCGCGGATTCCACATCTCCATCCCACTCATTCTCTTCATTCATCAATCTTTCCATATGAGCTTTCCACACCTGAGCTTTTTCCTCCTCATCTATGCACAACTTGCCAGATCCATCCCAAACACATCCATTCCCTAAAACATCTTTCCTATCCCTCATTGACTGCTTTGCTACTTTGAACATTTTCCTCGAACTCACATCAAATTCCATTTCCTTCATTAACCTATCTGATGCTTTCGTCATTGCAGTTGCCACAGTCGCCTTCACATTCTTCACATACTTCCTATGTTTGACCCTTACCAATATATAGTCTATCATCGATCTATGCTCCCCTGACCTATATGTAATCAATCGCGCTATATATATATATATATATATATATATATATATATATATACATATGCCTTATGTATAGTTGTTTTATGTTTGTACACACGGACACACACACACGAACACACACACACGCACGCACACACACAAGCGCGCAACATCGCAAACTTGGTTATATAGATCTTCTAATCTCTTGATGGTCAGCCATCTGGTCATGTTAACGCCATTCTCTATGAGAAGTCTCACAAAGTCAACTCTGTCAGCCACAAGGGCCTCCATCATCGCGTTGTCCAGGGCCCCTTCCTGCCATTGGTCGGTGGTTTAGTGATTGGCTCATTGATTGGTTGGTTGGTCGGTTGTTTTTTGGTTGGTTGATTGATGAATGGATTGATTGATTGATGGATGGATTGGCTGATGGCTTGGTTGGCTAGTTAATATTAAGTTAACTGATTAGTTTATTCAGATGTCAATAGAGATCAAATCAATCAATCAAAAGAATAAATAATCATATATTCAATGAACTAATCAATCAATCAATCAATCAATTAATCAATCAATCAATCAATCGATCGATCGATCGATCAATCAATTAATCGATCGATCAATCAAAATGAATAAATTCAGCCAACCGGCCATAAATGCCCGTAAGCAAATATATGACTCCTCGCCATATCTACCCTGTTCCATGCCATTGTTAAGTTCAGCTGGTATAATGAACTGGCGTTTTGACCTGTTATATGATCGATCCATCATTCATTCATTCATTTATTTATCCATTCATTCATTCATTCATTCATTCATTCGTTCATTCATTCAAAACAATTCATTTATTTATTCAATCGATCGATCGATCGGTCAGTCGACGAACTTTTCAGCAGAGCGGTCAATATGGCCTGATCAATGTCTTGGGCCTCCTCTCCTATTCTAAATATCGTTATCTGACAAATCAAAAGCAAAGAATATCTTGAAAATAAATTTTACATAGATACAAATCAACAAAAAGCGCATCCCTAATTTTTTTTTCTATCCCCCAGCAAAGAAATGAAAGTACACTAACTAGACTTTTCTGTTTAGTGCAGAGCATCAACTCAGTGAAGACTCTCTCGCATGCCACCGGTCCGTACATGAACGTTCGAGATATTGTGGCCAGTAGTTGCTCCTTCAATACTTCCGGCATTGTACTATATGTCAGTGAGTGAGTGTGTGAGTAAATGAATGAATGAGTGAATGAAAATGAACAATGGATGGATGGATAGATAAACAAATGAATAGATGAATAGAGTAGAAGAGTCTTAAATTTTCATCAAGCCAACCAACCAGCCACAGCCAATCAATCGATCAGCCAGACAACCAACCAACCGACCAATCAACCAATCATCCAACCAACCAATCAACCAACCAACCAATCAGTTTATTAGTCAGCAAACTAACCCATCAGGCTGAGCGTATTTATGAGTAAAAGACAGTAAATCAGAGGCTCGGCCACTTCCGTCAATGACGACAACAGGGATGGGCGGATGATCCGTAACGCACTCGAGCACGGTGCGGATACAGTTACTTCCGCCTTCCATCAGCAAGCAAACCACTGGCGTACCATAATCTTTGTACCCTCCTTTTGAAATAAAATAATGTCTCATCCGTGTGGCGAACATTCATTCTTATCATCGTTCTTATCATCTTAACAATCTCAATCATCTTAACAATCTCAATCATCTTAACAACCTTTAACATTAGCCACCATTAACTCTTTCACCATCATTTTAATCGTCACCCTCATCACAGAACCTATCATCACTTCTCAATCATTTTCACCCGGCCATCATCGTCACCAGACTAACTGTTATTAGCAACCCTTTGCTGCGAAATATACTTCTCGAGGTTCTTCCTAAGAGCGGTCTCGCAACCAAACCTGCCTACCGAGCCATCGTCGACGAGTAGGAAGTAGGAGTGGCTGCTATTCAGGACGATGTTGTCGCTGCCCGGAAGTGAAATCGCCAGGTAAGGTACTGTAATCTGTGTGCGTGTGTTTGTGAGTGTGCGTGTGTGTGTGCGTGCGTGTGTGTGTGCGTGTGTGTCGGTGTGTGATGTTATCAAGATAACACCGTCAACATCATCAGCATTCGGAAAAACAAGCATCATCTTCATCTTCATCACCTCGACTACTTACATCTTTCCCGATGAGATCCTCCCTTTTGTGTACGACGCCCCACGGTGCAATGCCAATGGTAATGATGTTGTTGCGAGACTGCACCAGCGTATCCCCCAGGGCCTCCCCGACGTGTTTCATGACACCTGGCGAATGGGGAAGGAAAGTTTTATTCGATTTAAAAAAAAAATCTGAAGACGACCGAAATTTGGATTAAAATTTAGTAAAAATGATGACGACGACAATAGTGATGTAAAAATGGTCAAGATGAAAGTAACGGAACTGACGTAACTGAACTTCTCACAATGACGTCAATAGACAAACAAACAGACAGAAAATTTCTATAAAAAAAAATGACCCAACTGACCTGTATTAGTACCACCAGTAGTCACCCAGGCACCTGTCGTTTTGGCGGCACTGAACAATCCCTGCTTGCAAACTCTACGCAATTTAGGTTGAAGGTCAAAGTTCGCGATGCCTCCGTGCACTGAAATTAGCAATTTAGGGATGTCCAGTCCCCAGTGGTGATGTAACAGCTGGACGATTTTCTCCGGCTTTGTGTCAAAGGATAGGCGAACGTACTGCGAATGTTGTTGTTTTGTTGATGTTATCGAATGTTGTTGTTTTGTTGATGTTATTGAATGTTGTTGTTTTGTTGATGTTGTTGCGAATGTTGACTTCATATGCCAGATAGAGGCCGATGTCATTAACAAGCATAGCATACCAGCGGTGCTCATTCCATTACGTCAGTATATACGTACATACATTCATTAACACCTAGGTATGACCATTCATTACATATATCTATAATCCTACCAGATTTCTATCGTAACCTGACCTAATTTCCCCAAAGGGTCCCTGCACTGACCCAATTTTCGTGATAATCTGACTTAATTTCCGTAATAATTAACCCAAATATTCTCAAGAAATCAATGTAAATTTTATCTCAATTTCACCCCATAAAATCACCCCCTGACCTGGGCTTTAGTAGGGTGCGGACCACCCTGAAACTCGATGGTTCCGTAGGCGTCAGTGGCGGAGAGTTCGGTGTGGGTGGAGAAGTTCCACTTTTCGGAAACGGGGTACGTCGTTCGCAGGATTCCTTCGTTTGTGTTGGGATGCGAAGATCGTAGTCGACCACACATGCATCTAAGTAGACATGAATGGATGGGTTGTATGTACGTGTGTGTCCGTGTGTGTGTGTGTGCGTGTATGTGTGCGTCCGCGAATATATCTGTGTGTGTGTAATAAAAATAATCACGATGATGATGAAACTGACAAAATTCTATACATTGATAATTCACTTGTGTACATCACACCAATGTTAAATTGAATCAGAACATGCTCTAAGTGGTCTCTATGAAATGATAAGATAAAAATGTTCAGAGATAAAGAGAGCGAGAAAGAGAAAAGCAGGGGAAGAGAGAGAGAGAAAGAAACAGGGAGAGAGACAGATGGACTGAAAAAACAGAAAGAAAGAAATAGAGGAAGATAGAGAAAAAAGATAGGGATAGAAAGAAAGAAAAAGGGTCGTGGGCGAAAGAATGTAAGAAAAACATTGAGATATGCAAGGTTAACAGAAAGCAATTGAGATACAAATGTTGACACAGTTAGTATTTTACAAAGCAGAAACATGGCAATAGTAATCTCCTTCAATTTAATAAGCTAATGAACTTAAATGAACTTGAATTCAGAACAAAAACGTATAAAACGCACGCACGCACACATACACACGCACACACAAACTCAAGCACACACAGAAAGAAATAGAAATAAAATTAATTTGTATCACTGTGTTGTAGTATTGTTGTTACAAGCGCTACCAGTCAAGTAATAAATCAAACAGGCATTGCTCTATCACAATTGAAAAGTTGAAATTAAAAAAAATTATGCTTATGAACAATAAGACTGTATACATATATAATTTTTTTCTCTCTTTTACCACTCTCTCTCTCTCTCGCTTTCTCTTTCCCTCTCTCTCTCTCTCTCTCTCTCTCTCTCTCTCTCCTCTCTCTGTTATACACACACACACACACACACACCACACACACACACACACGTACATACATATATTCAAACATACAAACACATACAAACTACCTTATTAAACATGCCAAAGCTTTTTATTTAAAAGGACATACATCATACTCAATGACTTTAAACCATGAATTTGAATAAACAAGCAAACACTCAATGGTAATTTGACAACTGAGCTCATTAATTTATTAATGTTTGTTAAAATTTATTCACCTTTATGAAATTTGTTTAAATATTACCATCAATATATTATAGACATTTTATGTTTAAAATATTTACTGTTTTACTATCTCTATCCTTCCTACTCTGTCTAACTGTATCTCTCTCTCTCTCTCTCTCATTCTTTCTTTCTCTCTCTCTCTCTCCTTCTCTTCTTTTTCTATCTGTCTCTCTGTCTCTTCCTCTCTTTCTTTCATGTGTATTAAA